AGCTGGACCGATACGCAATGTTGGGCTCAATGATGAAAAGTATTTCATGACAATCATAAACGATTTTTCTCATTTTTGTGTAGTTCTTATATTGAAATACAAGTCTGAAGCTACACAAAATCTCATAGATTATATTGCCAAAATAGAGAATGAATCCGGAAATAAAGTTAAAAGAATACGATGCGACAATGGAGCTGAATATACAGCGAACTCAATTAAAGATATTTGTAGGCAGAAAAGAATTAAATTAGAATACACGTTACCATATACTCCTCAACAAAATGGCGTAGCGGAACGTATGAATAGGACGTTGTACGATAGAGCTAGAACTCTTTTTGCAGAAACGAACATTCCTAAAGATCTTTGGCCGGAAGCAATTCGCTATGCTGCGTATCAATTAAATAGATGTCCATCGAGTGCTATACGATACAGAACACCTTGCGAGGTAATGTATGGAAATAGAGATTTATCGAGATTGAGAATTTATACCTAAGGAAGATAAATTAAGTAAACGAGCTATATGAACTAGGATGGTTGGCTATAGTAGAGTTGGCTATAGTAGAGTTGGCTATAGATTATGGGATCCGGAGAGCAATTATATAATTATTTCTAAAGATGTGACCTTTAATGAAAATGATTACAGATATAAAAAGGTGAAAAAAACACGAGCTAGTTCAGAAGGAAGAAAATGATGAAGATAGAGAATCAGCTGAAAATGAGAATGACCATGAAATGCGAGATGACGAAACAAGAGATGCTACTTAAGAAATACAAGAAATAAGAAATGAAGTTAATAGACAGGTAAGATGTACACGATCAGGAAGAATAGTTAAACCTCCAAATCGTTTTGAAACAAACGTTGTATATTGCACGTTAGCTCAAGAAGGCTATGCTTTACTATTAGATGCCCCAAATAGTTATAAAGATGCTGTCAAAAGTGAAGATTGGAAGAAAGCAGTAGTTAAAGAGTTGAATGCTTTAGAAAAACTAGAAACATGGGAAGAAACAAATTTACCTGAGGGAAAACAGGCAATAGATACGAAATGGATTTTCAAAATTTACTTCATTTCTTATTTGTTGTATTTCTTAAGTAGCATCTCTTGTTTCGTCATCTCGCATTTCATGATCATTCTCATTTTCAGCTGATTCTTTATCTACATCATTTTCTTCCTTCTGTACTAGTTCGTGTTTTTTTGCACCTTTTTCTATCGTGTTTTCATTATATCTGTAATCATTTTCATTAAATGTCACATCTTTAGAAATAATTATATAATTGCTCTCCGGATCCCATAATCTATAGCCAACCATCCTTGTACATATAGCTCGTTTACTCAATTTATCTTCCTTAGGTATAACTATTGCCCAAGCTTTACATCCGAAAATTCTCAATCTCGATAAATCTCTATTTCCATACATTACCTCGCAAGGTGTTCTGTATCGTATAGCACTCGATGGACATCTATTTAATTGATACGCAGCACAGCGAATTGCTTCCGGCCAAAGATCTTTAGGAATGTTCGTTTCTGCAAAAAGAGTTCTAGCTCTATCGTACAACGTCCTATTCATACGTTCCGCTACGCCATTTTGTTGAGGAGTATATGGTAACGTATATTCTAATTTAATTCTTTTCTGCCTACAAATATCTTTAATTGAGTTTGCTGTATATTCAGCTCCATTGTCGCATCGTATTCTTTTAACTTTATTTCCGGATTCATTCTCTATTTTGGCAATATAATCTATGAGATTTTGTGTAGCTTCAGACTTGTATTTCAATATAAGAACTACACAAAAATGAGAAAAATCGTTTATGATTGTCATGAAATACTTTTCATCATTGAGCCCAACATTGCGTATCGGTCCAGCTATATCAGTATGAAGCATTTCGGCAATCATTGATGATCTAGGTTTAATAATTGGTTTATACGTAGAACGTGTTGCTTTGCCTTCTATGCAGGGTTCACACATTTTGTCAGATATAGGTAACTTCATTATACCCAGACCTTTTCTGTTTTAGTGACCTAATCGCTTATGCCATAAACTATTTTCACCATTCCATATATTGTTACAAAAAATATTATTAAAATTTTACCAAAGATTCTAAATAATTTATTTTGACAGAAAGCTGTAATAAAATGATTTCTTTTAAAAAATTTAACACTGGACCTATCAAAATTAACATTATAACCGGCTTCTATTAACTTACTTACCGAGAGTAAATTAAATCTTATGCCTTTTACAATTAGTGCTTCTATGATTATTTTAGAATTTTGATATTCCATTTTTATTTTTCCTCTCTTATTCGCGGTAATGTATTGTCCATTGGCAACTAAAATGTTCACAGTTCGTCCTACAACAATATCAAACATGCTATCTCAATATTTAACGTTTATCAAATGTTCCGTACAACCAGAATCTACTATAAATTCAACTATATTATGGTCGCTTACATTATTTGTGTTCACTTCTCCTACCATTGCATTGGTGTTCATCAGAAAGCAAAACTCATTGTCCACTTACGCATACGTAGCTTGTGCTCCGTCGTGCCAGGATGAATGGCCTTGACCTCGTCCTCTCCGTCCATTGCGGTACCCACGGTTCCGTCGGAAGCTAGTTCCTCTGCGGCCTTTTGCTCTACATTCAAAAGATTTGTGTCCTGTTTTTCCGCATCCGTAACATTTAATAATAAAGGCATTGTTAATTTCGTTTTGTGTGTCTGTATCATTATTCAATTTTAATTTTGTTTCCGCATCTAATAGTCTTGTTTTAACAAATTCTAAATTCAGTTGTTTTTCCGTTGCCATGGTTTCTATGGAAGTAATTACGTGTTGGAACTCTTTCGGAAGTGACGATAAAAGATAACAAATTTGGTCTTCTTCGTCTACTTTTACGTCTATTGCAGCCAAATCTCCCAATAAATTATCAAACTTCATAAAATACTGCTGCAATAACTCTGTATTTGTACATTTCAACGTAATTAATTTTCTTATCAATGTAATTTGTTATAAATGCTTTTTCGCTCAAAAACTTCTAAAAGTAGGGAAATCATATGCTTTGCTGTTCGCCCTTTCTTTAAAATATCTAGATATTTATCGATTGTACATGGCGCTATTAACGATTTCGCTTTCGAATCATCTTTGTCAAAATTTACAAATTAGTCACATTTTTCATTTTCTCATACGTATTTTATTTGCCTTTCTTCTAAAATCAACATCAATCTATATTTCCAATTACCAAAATTCGTACCTTCTGTAAGGATCGGCAGCGTTATCGTCGTCATATTAATTTCTCTTCTTTTTTACTTTTAACTTTTCGTGGATCGCAACCCACTTCAATCTTTATTTATTGATCTGCTACCATGTTATATATAGTTGGAAATTGGATAAAAGGATACTTTAAAATATTATTTGAATAAAACCCATCTTGTAATTTTAGTGTCACTGTGACAACTCGTTTATTTTTTTACTTACTTCAAACTTAACCATAAACAAATATTGCATCCTAACATTTTGTAGGTCAGGTCATGACTCTTGTCTATATTTTAATGATAATTGCTGGGTGATTATATATGTTGATGACATTTTAACGATGGAATGATAAATTTATATTAGAAAAGCTAGCGGAAGAATTTAAAGCTAAAGATACATGATATCACATTTCCAGTCTCATATTTGAGTAGATATTTAGATAAAGTTAATGAAGAGTTATGGAAAGCTGTTAAAAGGATACTGCGATACCTTAAAGAAACAAAAAACAAAGGTCTATTATTTCAGAAAGGTGATGGAGAATCAAGTCTTCTTGGATATTCCGACGCTGATTGGGCTAGTGACAAAGCAGATCGGAAAAGTATTAGTGGTGGCATAATACTGCATGGTAAAAATCCGGTTTTATGGTTTTCTAGTAAACAAAAATGTGTTGCTATGTCTACAGCAGAGTCGGAATATTTAGCAGCAGGTAGTACAGCTCAGTGGTTGATAAATTTAATAGGAATTTCAGAATGCTTGGGAGAATCTAATTCTATAACTTTACTTGTAGATAATGTAAGTGCTATAGCTATAGCATCCTAACACCCCCTGTGTTAGGATGCAATATTTGTTTATGGTTAAGTTTGAAGTAAGTGGAAAAATAAACGAGTTGTCACAGCGACACTGAAATTACAAGATGGGTTTTATTCAAATAATATTTTAAAGTATCCTTTTATCCAATTTCCAACTATATTTAACAGGGCATATCTAACGATTTAAATCTTTGCAGACAAGTGGCTCTATCTAATGAGACTGCTCAAATTCGAGATTCATTTCGAGATTGTTCGCATAAAAAATTGATTTCACAAAACCTTGATCTCGGCCAGATAATTCTTTTCAGAATTCTTTACCGGATTTTAGAAGTTTGTCAAGTAAATCATTGATAGAGTTTTACTCTTTATATAGCGAATTTTAATCCTATATTTTTTTCTATAGTGATCTACCGATAAGCTAAAAATTTTCAAATAATATCTTTCAAAGAAAGGAGATGAAACAATCTAGATGCTTGCAATACAAGACATTGTAAGTACTATTATAACAATTAGAAATAAAAAAGTTCACCAGAAATAGTTCATGAATAACTACTTAGTAACCGCAGTACCGCAGTCCAGTGCCAAGAACCAAGAGACTGTTCACGGCCAACATGCTGAGAAAATTACAATTATGTTTAACTACCTATATTGCCATTATCGGTAAACTGAGGTTACAATTATACTTGAGTTTATTTTACAGAGCCAATTGGCATCAAAATTGTCTAATATAATTCTCTGTAAATGATACCTAAATAGGAAGGTGTTAATTTGTATGAAAAGAAAATTTACCTATTATCTGTGTTATCTATTAATAAAGATATGAATAGATAGAACTAAGAAGTTATCTTAACGTATACGTAATTCACTAAAACACATAAACAATCGCAGCGAATAAAAAGTATCTTTACAATACCCAGTCTAAATAGAAGATTACGGTATTACTTACCTAGTATAAAGAAATAGAAATGCCTACCATAATGTAGATGGTTTTTTGATAGATATATAAAATATCGTAATCGCACTGGTTACCTACACCATAAATAGAGACCATTTACGAACATCAAGACTGCGTTGTTTTGAACAACATTACATCTAATATTTGTTTAGTTCACCAAGCTATTGTTTAACATAATTAAGAAAAAAGCACTGACAAAAAATTTAATGAAAGGAATCGTAATGCACCTAAGAGTTTTCAGACGTTATCACAATCATCGTATGTTTTCCCGAAATGACGGAACGTTATGAAAATTGACGTACTTGCGTGCTGTCTTCGCCAAAAACTCTGTCGTAGACATACTGCTTGTCGTTCAGCCTGCGCTGGCGCAAGACGTCGCGTCTGTAGTCCGCTTCCTCCTCCAACACCAATATCTGCATTATTATTTATTATAATTTAAACCAGTATTTTAAGTAGTGAACTCTGTGACCATTCATACACCTAAAGACTGATTTATAGGCACCCAAAAGTTGAGAAACAGTATCATTATATATCGGAGTAAAAGGTGAGTTTGTCAAACAAAACTTTATCATAACTTCATTTATTATACCTGCCTACACGAAACAATTCTTCCAATTACCGTCAATAAAAAATCAAGGTTGTTTATATTCTCTTGGATTTTTTAATCGCTCCATAATTTAAGTTAACATTCATTATGTAAAAAATTATGTGAACTAATTAGGTACAATTCTAATCACTCAGATCATGACCCCGGTTAGTCTATCAGTTAAGTAATTCTTACTTTTTTGCTTTGATCTTAATAAAAGATGTCTAAATAATGTTTCGTGATCGAATTAATACATTCGATTAATATTATTTATACGTGTATCGCATTGTTTGTATTTTTGTACGTAGGTAAATTTTGGTTTGCAATTAATTATTCAGTATTAACTTAACGTAAACAAATACGATAGGTATTCATTAATTAATGCATTATAGTTCTTCTCTCCCATAAAAAAAGTTTACATGCAGAATAGAATTGCATAACCGCCCGTAGTCAGGAAAATGTATTTCATCGTTCGCTAAAAATGAGGTAACTCTTGACAGATGACAATGCTATTTATAACAATTTGTAATTACATAGTAACAAACTACGTATATCCACGCCAAAGGCCATGCCAAGTCATTTCACGACCCCGAAACAATATGAAGTAATAGAGATTTATCTTTGAGTGTTGATCTACGTGTAAAAAACATCAATATCTACATAAAAATAACACTAATATACCAAGTGCTATACATATGTCGATAAAAGATAATAAAGTTCTGGGGATACTGGAAGAGAAACGACGATCGTTTCACTCAGCTATCTATCGCTCCGCTCGGCAACTAACTTGCTACTGATTAGCGACCGATTGCTAACCTAAACAAAATAGCTTGACGAAAATGGACATTTAAAATACTGCTTTTTAAATTATTTAAAGCGTCAACTAAGCCACACTCTTTCATACTGTTCTGAACCACGTCCACGTTAAATATTGTGATTTTCTTTTTCTTAGCGTTTTTAATACAAAAACCGGCTAAGTGCGTATCGTGCCACGTGCAGTGTAGGGTTCCGTAGTTGCCTGTAGTTACCACAATATATTTGAGCAGGAGTCTTTATTTTCTTTATCGGAAATTAGAGAAACCAATTAATATCAATCTATATATCTCAACTAAAATAACTAAATCAAAATCAAACTGCGTCTCAAACTCAAAATCAATTCGATATTAGGTTTTTTTTTAATTACGAATGATAATAGCCGATTTTTATATTTTGTTTCCGCCTAGGCGGGGGGGAGCGGTTGTGAAATCCGCAATATGGCTCTTACTGACTAAAGGCTTTATCTGAAGCGATGATCTTTTCAAGTGCCTATATACATTTTATGAAAACGTAAGGTTAGCGCGACTCAGTAGCCGTTGCCGTTGGTACTCGCGGTAGCGTTGTGGAACTAATGATATTTTACTGTGGTTTTTAAATAGTTTTTTTTTTTACTTTATTGCAATGCAAGGTTTTACGCTATAATAACTTCATCTTTGTCACTATTACTGTTTTCTTCTAAGGAATTCTCAATAGGTAAGAAATTTTCTTTAACCAAAGTTGAACGACTATTACTCTTAACCTAACAAGTCTATCTGAACCGTTATAGTTTTTCTTAAAAGTTAATGAAAAGCACTATTACCATGAATTTTTCAAGATTTTTCAAGCCAATAGTTTAGGTTTTAGAGGGGGGGACTCGAACAAAATGGAAATTGCTCAGCTTCCATACATTTTTGGCCTAAAGACCAATAATCATGAAAAATTGTTTCCTAGATTCGAAATTATACTGTTAGAAACGAATATTATTGACGGACACCCCTGAGAAATTCTTTAAACCATATACAGTGAATGATTTTGAGGTTATGTTTTCAAATAGGTACATTGGTATTAAAATAATAAAAAACAAATAAGTTATATAGTAAACTAGGGATATCAAGCCAAATACCGAAATTACGTATTAGAATTAGGTATATAGAGCAAGTAGATTAACAAATAGTTGCCTGTTTATAAAGTTAATGCACAAGACTAACTTTTAAAATCAGATATCATCTATGCATTTCCGGTTATAATAAGGTACTCTAACAGAAACTGTGTGATGATTGTGAAAAGTCACAGATTAGAGAGAATTTTTAAACTCTCGTTAATTTAGTTACTAGATAGGCTTCATTATTTTTGTTATGTTTATATTATAACCATATTTTAGATTTTTAGTGTATCACACCTTATAATGTGTTCTCTTTACAAAATTTGTTTTGATGTTATATAAACAACTTGGATCAGACTTTGGCTGAATGTTACTACACCCATAGCCATTAAAAATGATTCGTATGTTTTGCAAACCGGTAAAATTAAAAGTCCTTTTTAGAATGAATATATTATACAAAGGTGTCCGTTAAAATCTAATTACTGTAAAATATAGTATAAATTACGCCAAGAATTACAGTATATGTCATATTTTTTGTACATTTGGGCCAATTTGAGCAATAAACTTTGCAATTTAAAGTTCAATATTTCGCAAACAGATCCCTAAATCGAAAAATAGTTGTAGAAACCCCGAAGTAATTTTAAAGCACCTATTCAATGACATCCCACACAATGGGATAGATGATGAAAAAAAAACATCCCCAGGTTACATGTATTAGAGCTACATATATAAAATCAATATCGAACATTTATTCTACCATTTTGTCGTGGTGATTGACATACAGTCATATCTGCACAAAATTACAGCTCTCTTGTTCTAATAGTTTCCAAGCAAAACCAGGGACGGACAGACGGACATGACGAAATTATAAGGGTTCCTTGTCAGGACTACGGAACCCTATAAACTGATTCAGGAACTCATTCGCGGTGCGGTCGCATGTTGTTATTGCATAAAAATAGGTCTACCGATCTACCAATAATATGAACGAAGTTGAACGTACTTTGCTGTCCGTCGTTTGTCTTCGGTATGGCCCTCACCTTATTGGATAGTATTAAGATAGAATCAGTCACCTTATCGCTAACCACGTGCACGATGCGGGAGCCTTCGTCGGCACGTAGCGGTCGCACGCGCACCGCCACCTGTTGACACCAAGCAAGATCTTTAGTACTCACCTCGCCCGGATTATTATCCTTATAAATAACTGTCTGAGATTTTAAAAGCGTAACGTAAACAGACAACATGATTATTTTCTCACAAAACCATTTCTGAGTGTTTCACAGTCATTTATGACAGAGTGGCCACAATCCTTAATATATTATTAAATTTTGAACACTATTTAAAATTAATCGGAGATAAATAAAAAAAAAGTATCTTTTCATGTTATAATATAAAACGAGTTTTTAAATAAAATATATTTCATCGCTGCCGGAAACCGACTGCACTTTTGAACCATCTTCTTTGAAAGAAAAGACCAAAATTACATAGTAAGTAGAAGATAATGTAACATTGTATCGGGATTATAGATGTAAGGCCGGTTTAAAAACAATTAAAGCAATCCGTTTAAAACGAAAAAAACCGTTTAAAACCGAAATAAACCATTTTTTCGATTTAAAACGGTTGGTGTTGATGATTATGTTTTTCTTAATTATAACTATATTGTCTTGGTTTTACCGAGGTAGGAATATAACGGAGTACCTATACTTACTGATACTGGTGTCGATTCCAGCGTGATTCTCTAAACTTAAAACTAAATTTAACATCAGTCTGTCCTTTTCATTCTGTATAGAGAATGACAAGGATACACTGATGTTAAATTTAGTTTTAAGTTTAGAGGATCACGCTGGAATCGACACCATTGACATACTTAGCGAGTTTAGTTCTAGATGGTCCATCCGCGACCAAGCATAAGTATTACCTACCTAAGTTAAATCTTTTGAAAACAATATATTCTTTTTATTTACTAACACAGAGTTTTTAAGTTTATCATAACTTAAAAACTCTGTGTTAGTAAATAAAAAGAATATATTGTTTTCAAACGATATACCTAAATCAATTCAATCAATTTGATTCGGTTTAAAACCAAACTCGCACTCTCGTTGACGTCACTCGTCGTTACTCGACGCAAACGTGTCCAGCTCGCCTACCCTACACAAACATCCACATACGTAAACTGCCGGCCGCCCGCGCCGCGCACGCACACTTCTCAGGCGCGAATACAACGGGGGGTTTCCATTATATAAAAGTACTCTTTGAACAGGGGATAGGTTGGGGCATGGATGGAGTCTGCTGACAATAACTACATCATGTACAGACAGGTCACAAGCCCATTTTAACAGTTAACATCTCTATGTATCTTGTTGTATATGTCAAAATGTGCTTTTAATAGTGACCCCCTGATTGTAGGTACGTTCGCATGTAGTTTTTGTATCTTTATCATAGGGGTTTATTATTTATGATGACTGTAAATTAAGAACTAGTACAAAATTAAAAAGAAAATAACCATAATGAAGTGTAAAAAACATAGTTCTTTTATTTTTGTATGCCAGTTTTCAACCGTTTAAAACGATTTATTTGGGGTTTAAATCGGCAACATTTGGTTTAAAACGTTTTATATCGGTTGTTTTACATCTATAATCAGGATCAAGGATTAAGGCGGTGTCCGCCGTCATGTTGCTCCTCTATGATGATAGATTTCAGGTAATTTTACTAAAGATTTTCTTAATAAAAGAAGAAAGAATTCAAAAGTTGGCGAAAATCTAAAACTTATCTGAAAATTTAAAACCACCATGTCCACCATAAAAGTAGATTTTCTTTTAGTTAAAGTGAAATAACTTCACTTTCACTAAATGAAAATCTACTACATTGATTACAGAAGTCTAATTTCAAGGATTTTTGGTCATTTATAAAGTATTTTTGTTATGTAAAGGTCCTAAGTACTTATACAAATAACGATTTTTTTTAAGAAGAGGGCTTTTTTGTTTTGACTATTTCAAGTGAAGTATAGGGCAAGTATCTAGGTCAAAAATAACGTTCAATAATACCTAATGCAAAAAATGAAACATAAATAAACTTAACAAGATTTGAAACAAGATTTTATTAGAAAGCAAAAGTGTTTTTCTCTTATAGTCGAACTTAAAAAAAATATTCCTCCCGGCACATAAGCATATCGACCTCTCTGGCTTCGTTATTGACATAAATGCTATAACGGACATTTTAAACGAGAAGCAAAAACAAAAAAAAATCGAGATATTTTTTACCTTTTTTTGCTATATTGATGATTTTTATATCAAAATATAAAAAACTTAAAGATTAAAAAAGCAGATCGATAGAGCGAAAAATAAAATAAAAATACAGTTTTATTTTTAACTCATTTTGACCCAAAGTGGCGTTTACGACAATTGAGCCCAGAGGGGTCGATATTACATTCCAGCACTGTACGCCTTTTCTTTTTGTGTCCTTACGTATATTACCAGTCATAAACAGTCGTTCCACATTACAATTTTTGCAGAATTTTTATTTCTTAGTAGCTACCTACATAAGTTATGTAAGGGGAACAAAAATGTCTGCCGCATTACTAATTATTCTCTGTGTCATAATTGATACCGATCTCTAATGGGCGGCCCACGCTGTCGACGTCACCTGCAAAATGTATGCTACGTAATTTGCTACGTCATGCCCTCAACTCAAAGCTCGCCAAAATTTCTTACCCATTACAATACGAATTCAATAAATTTCCCTGTACAATGTAGTTTCGGGTTTGCTTTTGCATATTGTTCTTAATCAATATTCTAACACCCGCAGTGAAATTTTACTATCTACGCAAGATTATTTTGTATTTAAAAACAAAATTATAATGAACCACCGAAAGGTATATACGTGCGTAACTTCCAATAGACTGGACAAAAATTAATGTACCTTATAATTTAGGGCACCTTGTCTTCTGTTTGTTTTTTTTTAAGAAATATACTAGAAATCCAAGCTGCTACGATACCACTGCGTCTAACTACCGAACTAAGAAAAGTGGAATCTTCAAAATTTGAATTAATAAAAACAAAAGTCAAATAATCTTTCGGTGTTTCAGGCGGCGACTCACGCGCGCGGTGTCTCGTCTCTACCGCAGATACATTAAGAGATCTTACGACTAAGAGACATCACCGCAACCACAGTTCTTTAAAGACCTTCTCTTCTTGACGGACCTCGCCTCAGGTTCATCGTAACGAAGGTACGAATCTCTTATAGAAAAATTGAGATGATTATCTACTCGATCCTCGATTACACAGAAGTAATAATTGCCAGATATAGAAAATCATATTATATTTCCGGGATGAATAAGAAGTAGAGTTTATGTAGAGTAGATAAAAAAATGTTTTTTTTTAATTTATGTTTCGACCCCAATGCACTTTTTCATACGAAGAAACCCAATTTTGAAAATAAACATTTTTGCGTGTCTGCTGAGGTGAATTTATAAATATGCTTTTTACACAGCAACAGCCTCTTTTGATGATGCCTTGGACGCGAATGGTGATGCAAATCGTTTAGGATATCGTATTTAATTTTTTAGTTAGGAATGATAACACATAATAATGCGCCGCTCATCAATTTACTACGAAATATAAAAAATCGTTATGAATTTAGCAGGATAAAGCTTACAGAAAGCTTACATTCAGCTGAAGAAATTTGGCAGTTTTGGGTAACTTGACTTGTAGCTGTCTGTTCCTATATTTACCTGTCCTTAATTCTTTTTAATAAAAGTCATCCACTTCTTGGCTGCATTTGGGATCATATGGATAGACCAAACATAATACAAAAAACCACCCGAACTTGAGGTGTCATGCGGTCTCTCTCCAAGTCTGTACAAATTGCCGCGTCTGATAAGTTTTTGGATGGCACCTGTAAACTCATGTTTCGTCACCTCATACTATATCCGGCACCAAATGTGAAAGTCCTCCTTTGAATCTAGTAATCATGGCATAGTTATTACCAACTGAAACGGTAAGTTTATTAAATGTTAGTTTCTTATTGTGGGATATGGGAAGGGAACACAGTGTAAATGTTTCTTTAGGATGTACATCTGATTCATGACTAATATCCATACTAATATAAGTCTGATATTAGGTTACATGCCCGATTATTTTGATTATACGGTGGGCTGGTGGGTGTACAACATTGATGTTTCGTTGTTCGCGCCCGTTGATACACGACTAACTATTAATTAGTACGTCTGTCACTAAGTTGACATCAGCTGAGTTTAAACTTTGCACACAACAACAGTTGCATTTGCATGATGATCTTCAATTAGTATCGATCAAAGACGGTGCTTCATAGCCGAAAGCAGTATGAAGGCGAGACACACTGCGCCAAGGCGAAGGCGTCAAATTACTTCTAAAGTCGTAATGAATCATACTTACTCCGAACACAAGTTATATGCATTAACTTAATAACTAAATATTTAAAATGGCGCCAAAATTTAGTTCAAACAAGTTGTACAAGTGACAAGTCAAACGAACTGAAAAAAAAGCCCAAAAGTTCAAATTTTAACCGTTCTCATTGCAATTTGTCGGAATCTTTTTTTTGTGTGTTCCCCGATTAGAGTTCCCCTTCGAAGAAGCGTAAACCAATTCGAAAAAAATCTTTTTTTGTTTGAAAGAGTATACATCTTAGATGATCCCATGGTCATCAGGTCAAGATATGATGATGGGATCCTGTAAATTCAAGAAAAAAAAATTAGGCAAATCTATTGTATTTTTTATAGAAAATTGACTATTTACTCTCGAAAAGCTCCGCCTTAGGAAGTGGAACTGATAATGATGGCCACCAAAACTAATCAATAATCGTTATTCCACTAGTTGACGAAAACGATGACTTTAACTTGGTTACCTAGTAATTTATAGTCACAATGCATATATAGTGAAGTGGAGCTTAAAGAGATGTACTAGAAGAACTCTTCTTTAATACTTTCTCTATGTAACAACACTGTCACTCAAATATTGAATGAATTACAGCTGTTTGATTACCTATACAAACTGAAAAACTTTATTATTTTGACCATGTATTTAAAGATAAAGGAAACATTTATGTACTTAATAGTCTACCTGCATATACTTAACTAAAAGAGGAGCTCGACGGCGCAAGTGGTTAGCGCGTTCGGCTGCGATCGTTTAACTTAAGTAACTTTCGCAGTGGTCGGTCATTGGATGGGTGCAGTGGCGGGGCTAGACCACATGTGGACGTCGGCGACATCAAGTTACTTCGCAGTAAAAAACCGTTAAACTAAGTGAGCCAAATTATAACGTATGAGTAAACGAGTTTTATTGTTGATAATCAAATGATGACAAAAAATAATTACAAACATAGAAATTTAATTACAAAAATAGTGTTGCCAGACAGACGATTCTGAATACCCGTAAAGTACTACTCGCTTCCATCACGCACGTGTTCGAAAATAATAAAAGTCATTATCATCTGCTTAGCTTTTTCCTCGAATTGTTCGGGGTCGGCTACCTAAGCCAGGCCAGGAGAAACGAAAATAAATAGGTAACTAGTAAAAATTTTTTGCGAGGCCCTCAGGCGCTAGGCCGTCGGCGGTGGCCAACGTCGCCGACGCCTAGCGCCGCCACTGGATGGGTGAACAAAAATTACAATCTCGAACTCCTCCGTGCTTCGGCAGGCACGTTAAGCCGTTGGTCCCGGCTGCATCTGCAGTCGTTAGCACCTACCAATCCGCACTGGGCCCGCGTGGTAGGTCAGGGCCCAATCTCCCTATTCCATCCATAGGGAAGGCCTGTGCCCCAGAAGTCGGGAAATTAATAGGCTGATGATGATGATGATGATATACTTAACTACTGTGATCTGTAT